ACACGAAAACTCGATTGTTTCGCATTTTACATCCAATGTACAGCTTATTTAATATAACATCATCTTACCGTCCATATTGCTGTACTACAAAAGGGGATTGCAGTCCTGAAATTGTTGCATCGCTTCCAAAATAGCGATATAACTTGGCAACGTAGTCAATACATCCTGATAATGATTGTTTGCAAAGCGTATCTCAAGGTTTCTCTCTTTCCATTTCGTTGAAATACTTCGCGTAAGAGATCTTTGTTTAAATATAAGTCTACAACCGAACCGTGAACCAGATGTAAGCGGAATGTTTCTAGTTTAGAAACATATTTCTCACTTGCAGAATAACGCTAACTATTTCAAAATGAGGTCTACTGAAAGAAAACGCAACAATAAAACATTGGACTATGAAGCTCGTGGCTACGGGAACTAAGGTCGTGTGTTACATATAGGAAACAGGAGCAAACAATTATCTAACTCCGATCATAATTTATGTATCATAATTGAATGTTTCATGGTACTTCGGGGGATAAAGCTCATTTTAGGACAAAAAAATTGCGAAAGATCTGCAAAGGGCATAGCCCATCAGATATCATTGTAGACGTGCGACAAAGAAAAGTGTAGTGTTTGAATATTGTTTATTTAAAGGAAGTTTCATAGGGGTCAAACCTGGAAAACCACAACTTTCGCTGACATGTTTGTAAAAGCCAACGTTCAACAGCTTTATATTTATACTACTTCTCCTCCAGAGGCTACTCTGCCTTGTTAAGTTACACGTGCCGGTAGTAAGACTACGACCCAGGTAGCACGTTCACATTTTCCACGAGGCTCGGGTGCGAGTCGGTATACCTACATCAAATACTTGCATTTTGGAAACAGAGGCTTTGAAAAATCAACTCAACTAGTTAGTTATTTAGTATTCTTGCCCAAGAAGGTAGCCAAGTAGTGATCTATCCCCCTCAAATATGGTCGGGTCCAAAGCCATCAATGCATTATGTGGCGAAATATTATAGAGCGTGGCTGATGCGTAATGAAACATTTAACATAAGCCTGTTGTCTGGTCAGACCAGAACGTTCACGCCCATCGGGAAAAGATTGACATCTAGATTTAACCAGAAAAAAGAAAGTAAAGAAACCCATGTTGTGCCTTTCTCTTTAATCTTTCCTTCCAAGGTAATAAATTTAAGAAGTGAAGGACTACTTCTTATAGAAGTCCAAAGCCAATCACTGCATCACATGGCGATATATTATTGAGCATGGTTTGATATATCAGAAGGAACTCTGCGACTCGAACTAGAGCCTCTCGTTTACCAAGTTTTGCACTTAGCGAGGAATAAATTGTAATGGAATGTATATAAGCAGGAGGAGAGAATATGGATGCTCTGCTTAGAACTAGGTCAACTTCGTCTTTTAGCCCGGAAAAACCGAGACTAGCGGAATTGCTCTCAATCAGCCTTGAACAGGCAAGAAGAGGTCTAATTACTGTTTCCCGTTTTTTGGATCGTCTGTCGAAGTCACAGTGTACTCTTACCATAGTTTTGAACGAGCAGCAGATATCCTTAGGAGGAGAACGACACGCAATGTTGTTGCAGAGTTCACATCTTTTCTCTGCAATTCGTTTGATTAGTAAACGAAAATGCCAGTTTCAAGGCAATTTCTGTCATTAAGCAAACAATCAATAGAGATTAAAATAGTAAGGAAGAGGAAACAAATACGATTCAATTTTTCAGCGTCTTAAAAAATACTTATAAATTATTTAAAATCGTTACCTCTACTCGAGGCAATTGTCATCTCGACCGGTTTCTTACACAAAGTAAGCACCAAGTGCTGTTTCAGCGATTAACGATAAAAACACCCCTCTGATTCTCATTTGCAAGGTTTGACTGTAACTCATTTTGAATATTACATACAGTCAATAGAAGTAAATTTAGTAAGAGTGCAGAGAAGTTGAAAACTTACACAGTAGTATTGTAGCAATTAGAGGTTTTAATCACCGAACTAGGTTTATCTTTCGTTCTTTTTGTCCTAAAATGAGCTTTATCAACCTAAACAATAATTTACACTATAAAAATATGAACTCAATAAGGATCGGAGTTAAATAAGTGTTTGCTCCTGTTTCCTTTATGTAACACTCGACCTTAGTTCCTGTAGCCACGTGCTTCACGGTCCAAAGTTGTATTTTTGCGGAGTTGTCGGCCTCTGCATGTGGACCCTAATTTTGAATCAATTAGCGTTATTCCTCACACGAGAAACATGTTTTTGAACTAGCAACATTTCGCCAGCATTTGGTTCGCGGTTTAGTTAAAGACTTATATTTAAACAAAAATCTCTTACGTGAAGTAGTTACAGCCTCCTTTTCAACGAAATGGAAAGAGAGAAACCTTGAGATAGGCTTTGTAAACAATCATTATCAGGATTGACTACCCATTATCAGGATTGACTACCCTGCCAAGTTATAGCGCTATTATGGGAACGATGCAACAATTTTAGGACTGCAATACCCTTTTGTAGTACAGCAATATGAACGGTAAGCTGATGTTATATTAAATAAGCTGTAGATTGGATGTACAATGGGAAACAATCGAGTTTGCGTGTCAATGTGTACGTGTACATTTTCGAATAACTGACAGTATCGTCAAATCATCTCATTTTATCCAACTTTAAAATTTGATTAAATTGCACTGAGTCATTTCCCCAAAACAATCATTTGGAGATCGAAAAGAACCACACTTTGCCTTACAAAAGCCAGATTTTCAGTCGATTATTTTGTATAGCACATAGTTAAATAACAGGTTACTTTTGACCTATTTTTAATCTCGTTTAAAGAAGGTCGGATAAATTTAATTACGTTGTGTAAATAAATGATCAAGAATTGCTCAAATTGCTGTCGAATTATGTATTGATGTTTTTTTTCAAGATTTGATAGTTTTTATCCAAGAGTTTTTTTATAATTCGTGGCGCGACGCTCCGAGATTCGTCTGAAATTTTGAGCTTGAAAAGCGGCATTTGGGCGAATTTCAGCTTTTATCGATTTTCTCGAAAATAAGTCGATATTCAGCCAGACGAAGTATGCCGTGCTTTGTTTCACCACAACACCTACCGAACTTGAGAATATGAGCCGAATCGATTTTTCGGCAATTGCCTCCATATTTTGAAAATGTTCGATTTTTGGCTACATTTCCTCTTAATCTTTATATTCAAAGATAACTGAAACAGCTTCATACTCGGCTATTTAAAATTGGACACTTCGCGCTCGTTGCCAATCCTCAAAAAAAGCCTACTGCCCACTTATTGCTATATCTGGTAGACCTTGGTACTGCTCTCTCTGCGCAAAGTTCTTCTTCCTCGATTGTTTCCGGGATGCGAAACCTTCCTTCGGCCATGGCAGAAACAATATGTAAATCACATCAAGTTCACAACGCTTTTGGAATACAAATTTGGTGCAACGAGAAACTATTGGATAACTAAAAAAAAAGCTTACAAATACTATGAATGCCGGCTAAATACAACAAATCACACTTACGAGGCATTTTAAAGAAAAATGGGAAAAATACAACATTGCATAATTTTGTATTGTTTCTTTGGAGAAGTCATTTCAAAAACTCGTAGTTCGGGTTTCATCAGGTTTCCAAACACCTGAAAACAATAAAAGCAAGAGGCAACAGGCCTCGTGGTTTCAAATGTGTTCTCGCGTTTGGGAACCTGATGAAACCCTCGCGCTCGTTTTTTAGATAGTACTAGGAAACGATGTCGTTTTCTCGCTCTCAATAGAGCTGTCTTGCATTCCGCCTAGAAAAACCGTGATTTTTTTTTGGCAGAGGTTGTGATCATCACCTTTGAAGGAAGGTTGCATTTTGCGATAATATCACAATTTATTTTAAAGAAGACAAATACTAGTTATGCTACGGTTTTTAGTGATTGTACCCATATGAAATATAATGTCATCTGGCCTCTTATCAAGGTTACACCACAATTACCCCTTACATGTATTGTTGGGTAGCTCATTAATTTTTTTTTCCGGCATTCATATGGAACACGGAAAAGAAAGCATAGAACTAACAAAATTAGTTTGTTAGCGGGTATGTTTTAGGACCCATTCTATCCTATCACCATCTTAATAAGTCAAAATTGTTTAAATCATTGCATATTTTCTTATAAAAAGATATGACTGGACAGGACTGAAACAGTTTTATCTATAAATCGGGTGTTTATACGAGTTTCCATCCTTGAGGAAAGCCATAACAGCGCACGTCTGAGATTACGAAAATTTTTAAGGTGTGTTTGGCCTTTGTTTGGTATCCTTAAAAATTAATGATGTAATTTCTTCCAGCTTTCTTGTTATTGAAATGCGATCAACGTTCGATTTGGTAGGATTTTAATAAGGCAAGAAAAGATCAAATGCAACCTCAGCGAAGGAACCAAGTCTGAAGTACACTTTGTTAGTCAGAGTGACAACCCCCCTCGTTGATCATATCACATCTCAACAACACCAGCTACAAGACGAGTCTTTAGTGAATTCAGCACAAAACGCATCCAGTCAGTTGCGAAAGTATTTGGATTCCTCTGTGTAAATTACTTAGCGCTGGATTCTCATTTATGGCGTTTTGGCGGTCAGAAGGAATATAGGCCTCCGGTCTTTCCGCCCCCTTCCCCCCCCGGTTGGCTCAATTGGTTAGAGCGCCAGATTTTGTGGTGCGAGAAGTCGAGGGTTCGAGACCCGGCCGGACCAATACTCATGGTCTTAAAATAACAGAGGAGAATTTGCTACCTTTCTATGATATCAAGAATTGGATAGATATTCTAGTCTTCTCGGATAAGGACGAAGAAACCGTAGGCCCCGTCTCCTGCGGGGTTAGGGGTAGGAGACGTTAATTTCCCACGCACGAGATTACTGTGTGGTGGATGTCCTCCCCTGGGGTGGGATGGGTGGTTGCTGTCTTACGTTTAATACATGAGCCTCTGGCTCGGGCAATCTGGGTAGCCG